TTTAATTGCTCTGGGATTTATTTTAATTGCCTTGGGAATCGTTAAATTGTTCTGGGATCTCTTTTAATTGCTCCCAAAAATTCTTTTAATTGATCTGGAATTTGTTTTAGTTGTTCTGGGATTTTTTTAATTGCTCTCACAATTATTTTTATTGATCTGGAATTGATTTTAATTGCCCTGGGGTTTATTTTAATTGCTCTCAGATATTTTTAATTGTCCTGGGATTTCTTTTAATTGCTCTCAGATATTTTTAATTGCCCTGGGATTTGGTTTTATTGCTCTGGGATTTTTTTTAATTGCTCTCAAAATTATTTTTATTGATCTGGAATTGATTTTAATTGCCCTGGGGTTTATTTTAATTGTTCTCAGATATTTTTAATTGTCCTGGGATTTATCTGGGATTTATTTTAATTGCTCTGGGATATTTTTAATTGCTCTGGGATTTATTTTTATTGATCTGGAATTGATTTTAATTGCCCTGGGGTTTATTTTAATTGTTCTCAGATATTTTTAATTGTCCTGGGATTTATTTTGATTGCTCTCAGATATTTTTAATTGCTCTCAGATATTTTTAATTGCCCTGGGATTTGTTTTAATTGCTCTGGGATCTCTTTTAATTGCTCTCAAAAATTATTTTTATTGATCTGGAATTGATTTAATTGCCCTGGGGTTTATTTTAATTGCTCTCAGATATTTTTAATTGCCCTGGGATTTGTTTTAGTTGCTCTGGGATATTTTTAATTGCTCTCAAAATTATTTTAATTGATCTGGAACTGATTTTAATTGCCCTGGGGTTTATTTTAATTGCTCTCAGATATTTTTAATTGCCCTGGGGTTTATTTTAATTGCTCTGGGATTTGTTTTAGTTGCTCTGGGATTTGTTTTAGTTGCTCTGGGATATTTTTAATTGCTCTGGGATTTTTTTAATTGCTCTGAAAATTGTCTTAATTCCTTTGGGATTTGTTTTAATTGCTTTTAATTAAGGGCCTCCCAGAAATTCCCTCGGGATTAATTAGGAACGACTTCGGGATTTTTTTTTCTTAATGGCTTTGGGTTCATTTTAAGCCCTTTGGGGTTTGGCCTAATTAATTCCAGGGGGGGGGGATTCTTTATCCGGGATTAATTATCCCCAAATTATCTTAATGAGCCCCAAATGCCCATAAAAAGCATTAAAAATCACCCAATTTTTGGCTTCATCCAACTGGAGACGCCAATTCTCATTTTTGCTTCGAAGCGGGGAAAAAAAAACCCACCCAAAACTCAGCGGAAAAACCTGGAAAAAGGGTTTTTATTGTTTTTCTCAACGGCAGGCGGCGTTATATTGCAAAAAGTCGACGGGAAGAGTGGATTTTTGGGGCAAAAAGGGTGGAATTTGGGTCTGATGACTGAAATTTTTATGGGTTTGATTTTCCTTGGGGTTGTTTGGGTGAAGACGGGTCACAATGGCCTTGGGCTCCACCCAAAGTAGATCCAGTTGTTAAAACAACCCCCTTTTTTTTTTAATTTCCTCGCTGATTTGATGAAAAATGAGATAATTTTGGGCTGGGGGGCCTTTTTTTGGCAGGAATTGGAGGCCACGTGACGCGCTGCTGCCGCCGCCGACGTCCCTCGAGGCTGGTTCTTCTTCTTCTTCTCCTCCTCCTCTTGAAGAACCTCAACCCGAAGATGCCAAAATCCAAATCCTTCCGCCATGTTGGGGGGGAGGGACTATTTACAAGAAACTCAGGAATTTTTGGGGGTGGAAAGGTCTCCTCCGGCGTCGGGGTGTCCCCCTACTTCAAGGGGTAGACGGGGGCCTCCGCTTCCATCCGGGCCAGGCCGGAGACGTGGCTGGAAGAGAGAAGAGGTGGGCGACCATCAGGGTGTCCCCCCCCCCCGAGCCCAGCCCCCACCTCCCAAACGGACCTTCCCTGGTCGTGGGGGAGGAGAAAAGGGGCATCTTCCCTCTTCCCTCCCCACCCCCAAAAAAAGGTGAGTTTTGCTGGACAGGACCCTGGTTTGAGGGGGTGGATCCGCCCCGCCCCCAGAGCTCTGTAGGGGGAAAAATAGGTCTATATTGGGGAAAAATAGCTCTATATTGGGCAAAAGGGCTCTATATTGGGAGAAAAAAGGCTCTATACTGGGTGAAAGGGCTCTATACTGGGACAAAATAGCTCTATATTGGGGAAAAGGGCTGTATATTGGGAGAAAAAAGGGCTCTATACTGGGGAAAAATAGCTCTATACTGGGTGAAAGGGCTCTATACTGGGTGAAAGGGCTCTATACTGGGACAAAATAGCTCTATATTGGGGAAAAGGGCTGTATATTGGGCGAAAAAAGGGCTCTATATTGGGTGAAAGGGCTCTATACTGGGGAAAAATAGCTCTATACTGGGGAAAAATAGCTCTCTATAAGGAAAAGGGCTTTATATTGGGCAAAAAAGGGCTCTATATTGGGTGAAAGGGCTCTATATTGGGGAAAAATAGCCCTATACTGGGGAAAAATAGCTCTCTATAAGGAAAAGGGCTTTATATTGGGCAAAAAAGGGCTCTATATTGGGTGAAAGGGCTCTATATTGGGGAAAAATAGCCCTATACTGGGGAAAAATAGCTCTCTATAAGGAAAAGGGCTTTATATTGGGCAAAAAAGGGCTCTATATTGGGTGAAAGGGCTCTATATTGGGGAAAAATAGCCCTATACTGGGGAAAAATAGCTCTATGTTGGGGAAAAGGGGTGTATATTGGTTGAAAAAGGGCTCTATATTGGGAAAAATAGCTCTATACTGGGTGAAAGGGCTCTATACTGGGACAAAATAGCTCTATATTGGGGAAAAGGCGGTTTGAGGGGGTGGATCCTCTCCACCCCGCCCCCAGAGCTCTGTATGGGGTGAAAGGGCTCTATACTGGGGAAAAAGGGCTCTATACTGGGGAAAAATAGGTCTATATTGGGCAAAAGGGCTCTATATTGGGCAAAAGGGCTCTATATTGGGCAAAAGGGCTCTATATTGGGCAAAAGGGCTCTATATTGGGCAAAAGGGCTCTATATTGGGCAAAAGGGCTCTATATTGGGCAAAAGGGCTCTATATTGGGCAAAAGGGCTCTATATTGGGCAAAAGGGCTCTATATTGGGCAAAAGGGCTCTATATTGGGCAAAAGGGCTCTATATTGGGCAAAAGGGCTCTATATTGGGCAAAAGGGCTCTATATTGGGCAAAAGGGCTCTATATTGGGCAAAAGGGCTCTATATTGGGAAAAATAGCTCTCTATAAGGAAAAGGGCTTTATATTGGGGAAAAAAGGGGCTCTCTACTGGGGAAAAATAGCTCTCTATAAGGAAAAGGGCTTTATATTGGGCAAAAAAGGGCTCTATGTTGGGTGAAAGGGCTCTATACTGGGGAAATATAGCTCTATACTGGGTGAAAGGGCTCTATACTGGGACAAAATAGCTCTATATTGGGGAAAAGGGCTGTATATTGGGAGAAAAAAGGGCTCTATACTGGGCAAAACAGCTCTATACTGGGTGAAAGGGCTCTATACTGGGACAAAATAGCTCTATATTGGGGAAAAGGGCTGTATATTGGGCGAAAAAAGGGCTCTATACTGGGAAAATATAGCTCTATACTGGGGAAAAATAGCTCTCTATAAGGAAAAGGGCTTTATATTGGGAAAAAAAGGGCTCTATATTGGGTGAAAGGGCCCTATACTGGTAAAAAATAGCCCTATACTGGGGAAAAATAGCTCTATACTGGGAAAATATAGCTCTCTATAAGGAAAAGGGCTTTATATTGGGCAAAAAAGGGCTCTATATTGGGTGAAAGGGCTCTATACTGGGGAAAAATAGCTCTATACTGGGGAAAAATAGCTCTATACTGGGAAAATATAGCTCTCTATAAGGAAAAGGGCTTTATATTGGGCAAAAAAGGGCTCTATATTGGGTGAAAGGGCTCTATACTGGGGAAAAATAGCTCTATACTGGGGAAAAATAGCTCTATACTGGGAAAATATAGCTCTCTATAAGGAAAAGGGCTTTATATTGGGAAACAAAGGGCTCTATATTGGGTGAAAGGGCCCTATACTGGGGAAAAATAGCTCTATACTGGGAAAAAATAGGTCTATATTGGGCAAAAGGGCTCTATACTGGGAGAAAAATAGCTCTATACTGGGAGAAAAATAGCTCTATACTGGGGAAAAAATAGCTCTATACTGGGGAAAAAATAGCTCTATACTGGGGAAATATAGCTCTCTATAAGGAAAAGGGCTTTATATTGGGCAAAAAAGGGCTCTATATTGGGTGAAAGGGCTCTATACTGGGCAAAAATAGCTCTATACTGGGAAAAAATAGGTCTATATTGGGCAAAAGGGCTCTATATTGGGAGAAAAAAGGGCTCTATACTGGGCAAAACAGCTCTATACTGGGTGAAAGGGCTCTATACTGGGACAAAATAGCTCTATGTTGGGGAAAAGGGCTGTATATTGGGCGAAAAAAGGCTCTATGTTGGGAAAAATAGCTCTATATTGGGCAAAAGGGCCCTATACTGGGTGAAAGGGCTCTATAATGTGACAAAATAGATCTATATTGGGGAAAAGGGACGTATATTGGGCAAAAAAGGGCTCTGTATTGGGAAAAATAGCTCTATATTGGGCAAAAGGGCTCTATATTGGGCGAAAAGGTGCTCTATATTGGGAAAAATAGCTCTATACTGGGCGAAAGGACTCTATATTGGGAGAAAGGGCTCTATACTGGGGAAAAAGAGCTCTATATTGGGCAAAAGGGCTCTATATCCGGCAAAACCACTCCGGATTTTCCCAGAAGTCCCCGCGTTCATCTGGATCCTTCTATTTTTGGGCAAACCGATCCTTCTATTTTGGGCAAAATCTGGGCAAAAGTCAACCTTTTGATGAGACCCTTCTAAATTCCGTGAAACCCATCGATATTTGGGCCAAATCCCCCCGGATTCACCTCTTTCCTCCCCTTCTTCTTGCGGGGGACGATCCCCAGAGAAGCTCAAAACCTCCCTCAAAACGCCCCCAAAAAACTGATTTTTTTCCCACTTAATTTTGGCTCCGTTTAATTTTTTTACCCAGAAAATTGCCCCGGACGTCGCGGTTTTGGGCAATAAGTGTTTTTTTACGGGGTTGTCCTACACCGAAGCCGAGGTGTCTCTTTGAGACCGTTCCATGACGAAGGGCTGGACCCCCCCCCCCCCCCCCCCCCCTCCTCCTTACACAATCCCCCCCCCCCCTCCCCGCCCCTTCTAATTAACCAGCGAATTAATTAAGGGGGGTGGGAGAGTTGGGGGGTGGAACAAAGGGAGGCCTCGGCCAATCATGGGGCAGAAGAAGCGTTTGTAGCACAGGAGGAGGAGGAGGAGGAGGAGGAGAAGAATCACTCACCGGGATCATTTCCTTGGATTTTTTTTTTTGGGGGGGGGGGGGGGTCAATCACTGTGGATGAAACCAAAAAAGATGGAGAAGTCCTTCCCCGATGCCCCCCCTTGGTGCCCCACGGAGGTGGGGCTTGCCCCCGGGCTTCAAGAAAATATCACCCCATGGGTTTTTTTGGGGAGGAAAAAGGGTTTTTTTTTTTTTTGGAGGGGGGGACTCACCATCCCGAGAAATCCCTGGCTTTCCAGGCGTCCACCACCTCGGCGATGGTCCTCACGGCCCGGCCGTTGGGCAACTTGAGGTCGTCATCGGCCTCCCCGTTGAAGTTGCCGCAGGGGGCGCAGAGCTGGTTGGCCAAGGTGGCCCCCACCGTCACTGTCACCTCCCCGCCGGGGCTGAAGAGGACCTCCATCCCCGTGGTGTGGTGGGAGATGGTGACGTTCTCCCCAGCCGCCCCCGCGCTCAAGGAGATGGCTTTGGAGACCGTTGCCGGGAGGGGGGTGAAGAGACCGTTCACCTGCGGAGAGGGAGGAAAACCACCCCAAAAACGGGTTCAAAAAGCCCAAACTGTCACCTAAAAAATAGTCCAGCCCAAAGATATCATTGGGGTTGGAGGTAGGAGGAAGAGGAGGATGGTTGGGGTTGGATGTTGGAGGAAGAGGAGGATGATTGGACATTGGGGGAAGAGGAAGATGGTTGAGGTTGGACATTGGAGGAAGAGGAGGATGGTTGGGGTTGGATGTTGGAGGAAGAGGAGGATGGTTGGGGTTGGAGGAAGAGGAGGATAGTTGGGGTTGGATATTGGAGGAAGAGGAGGGTGGTTGGACATTGGGTGAAGAGGAAGATGGTTGGGGTTGGACGTTGGAGGAAGAGGAGGATCATTGGACACTGGAGGAAGAGGAAGATGGTTGGAGGAAGAGGAGGACAGTTGGGCTTGGACATTGGAGGAAGAGGAGGATGGTTGGACGTTGGAGGAAGAAGAGGATGGTTGGAGGAAGACAAAGATGGTTGAGATTGGACATTGGAGGAAGAGGAGGATGGTTGGTGTTGGAGGAAGAGGAGGATAGTTGGGGTTGGATGTTGGAGGAAGAGGAGGGTGGTTGGACATTGGAGGAAGAGGAGGATGGTTGGGGTTGGATGTTGGAGGAAGAGGAGGGGGGTTGGACATTGGGTGAAGAGGAAGATGGTTGGGGTTGGAGGAAGAGGAGGACGGTTGGGGTTGGATGTTGGAGGAAGAGGAGGACGGTTGGGGTTGGACGTTGGAGGAAGAGGAGGGTGGTTGGACGTTGGGGGAAGAGGAAGATGATTGGAGGAAGAGGAGGACGGTTGGGCTTGGACATTGGAGGAAGAGGAGGATGGTTGGAGGAAGAGGAGGACAGTTGGGCTTGGACATTGGAGGAAGAGGAGGATGGTTGGAGGTTGGAGGAAGAGGAGGATGGTTGGAGGAAGACGAAGATGGTTGAGGTTGGACATTGGAGGAAGAGGAGGGTGGTTGGGGTTGGAGGTTGGAGGAACAGGAGGATGCTTGGACATTGGAGGAAGAAGAGGATGGTTGGAGGAAGAGGAAGATGGTTGAGATTGGACATTGGAGGAAGAGGAGGGTGGTTGGGGTTGGAGGAAGAGGAGGATAGTTGGGGTTGGATGTTGGAGGAAGAGGAGGGTGGTTGGACATTGGGGGAAGAGGAAGATGGTTGGAGGTTGGATGAAGAGGAGGATGGTTGGGGTTGGATGTTGGAGGAAGAGGAGGATGGTTGGAGGTTGGATGTTGGAGGAAGAGGAGGATGGTTGGGCTTGGACATTGGAGGAAGAGGAGGATGGTTGGACGTTGGAGGAAGAAGAGGATGGCTGGAGGAAGAGGAAGATGGTTGAGGTTGGACATTGGAGGAAGAGGAGGACGGTTGGGGTTGGAGGTTGGAGGAAGAGGAGGATGGTTGGGGTTGGAGGTTGGAGGAAGAGGAAGATCATGGGGGTTGAAGACCAAAGATCTTCTGGAGGAAGAGGAGGGAAATCCCACCCCCAATTCCATCTCCTCACTTAATTAACCTTAATTAACCTTTGGCCCCGCCCCCCCTCCTTACCCACACCTCCAGGTGGTTGTTGACGGTGATGAAGGCTTCTCGGAAGAAGAGGAAGAGGCCCACGGGGGCCACCACCTTGTCCTCCCGGCACTCGTTGACCTCCACCACCACCTTGAACCAGTTGGGGGACCTCTCGTCGCAAAGGGCGGCCATTTTGTAGGTCCCGCTGGCCACCAGCCCCCCCCCGGCCCCATCGAAGGTGGTCAAGGTGGCCCCCGGCCCCACCCGGCATCGTCCTTCCGCCTTCAGGCAGCGGTGGGTGCCGTTTTGGGGGACGCAGATCTCCTTGGGGGGACACTGGGTGGCCTCGCAGAGGAGTCCCCGCGTGGGGTGACAATGACATCTGGTGGAGCAGTTGTCGGTGACGATGGTCTCACCCGCCTGGAAAGGGAAAGTGAAATCCTTTTTTTTTTGGGGGGACGGGGTGGGGGGAGGGGGGGAATTTCCCATTTTTAGAGGGAATCCCAACCCCAAACCCAAGTCTCCAAAACCAGTTGCGTTGGCCACTGGTGGGACAACCCACCTCAGTGAAGATGGAGACCCCAAAACCAGTTGCATCGACCCAACTCAATGAAGATGGAGATGATGTCACTGGTTTGGGGCCTCCATGAGACAACCCAACTCATCAAGGATTGGGACCTCAGACCAGTTTCGTTTCAGTGGGACAACTCAGCTCATCAAGGATTGAGGCCACCAACCAGTGACATCATCTCGATGGAACAACCCAACTCATCAAGTATGGAGGCCCAAATCAGTGGCATCATCTTGATGGGACAACCCACCTCACTGAAGATGGAGACCCCAAACCAGTTCCATCATCTTGATGGATCAACCCAATTCATCAAGGATTGACACCCAAAACCAGTTGCATCGTCTTGATGGGTCAACCCAACTCAATGAAGATGGAGACCCCAAACCAGTTGCATCCTCCAGATGGGACAACCCAACTCATCAAGGATTGAGACCCAAAACCGGTTGCATCGTCTTGATGGGTCAACCCACCTCAGTGAAGATGGAGACCTCAAACCAGTTGCATCCTCCAGATGGGACAACCCAACTCATCAAGGATTGAGACCCAAAACTGGTTGCATCGTCTTGATGGGTCAACCCAACTCAATGAAGATGGAGACCCCAAAACCAGTTGCATCGACCCAACTCAATGAAGATGGAGATGATGTCACTGGTTTGGGGCCTCCATGAGACAACCCAACTCATCAAGGATTGGGACCTCAGACCAGTTTCGTTTCAGTGGGACAACTCAGCTCATCAAGGATTGAGGCCACCAACCAGTGACATCATCTCGATGGAACAACCCAATTCATCAAGGATTGACACCCAAAACCAGTTGCATCGTCTTGATGGGTCAACCCACCTCAGTGAAGATGGAGACCCCAAACCAGTTGCATCATCTTGATGGATCAACCCAACTCATCAAGGATTGACACCCAAAACCGGTTGCATCGTCTTGATGGGTCATCCCACCTCAGTGAAGATGGAGACCCCAAACCAGTTCCATCATCTTGATGGATCAACCCAGTTCATCAAGGATTGACACCCAAAACCGGTTGCATCGTCTTGATGGGTCAACCCACCTCACTGAAGATGGAGACCCCAAAACCAGTTGCATCGACCCAACTCATCAAGGATGGAGACCCCAAACCAATGACATCATCTCTGTGGGAGAACCCACCTCACTGAAGGTGGAGACCCCAAACCAGCTGCATCCTCCAGATGGGACAACCCAACTCATTGATGGTTGAAGCCCCAAACCAGTTGCATCATCTTGATGGGTCAACCCAACTCACTGAAGATGGAGACCCCAAACCAGCTGCATCCTCCAGATGGGACAACCCAACTCATCAAGGATTGAGACCCAAAACCGGTTACATCGTCTTGATGGGTCAACCCACCTCAGTGAAGATGGAGACCCCAAACCAGTGACATCATCTTGATGGGACAACCCAACTCATTGATGGTTGAGGCCCCAAACCAGTTGCATCATCTTGCTGGGTCAACCCACCTCAGTGAAGATGGAGACCCCAAACCAGTTGCATCATCTTGATGGATCAACCCAATTCATCAAGGATTGAGACCCAAAACCGGTTACATCGTCTTGATGGGTCAACCCAACTCAATGAAGATGGAGACCCCAAAACCAGTTGCATCGACCCAACTCATCAAGGATGGAGGCCCCAAAACTGGTTACATCGTCTTGATGGGTCAACCCACCTCAGTGAAGATGGAGACCCCAAACCAGTTGCATCATCTTGATGGATCAACCCAATTCATCAAGGATTGACACCCAAAACTGGTTGCATCATCTCGATGGGACAACCCAACTCAATGAAGATGGAGACCCCAAACCAGTTGCATCCTCCAGATGGGACAACCCAACTCAACAAGGATTGAGACCCAAAACCAGTTGCATCGTCTTGATGGGTCAACCCACCTCAGTGAAGTTGGAGACCCCAAAGCAGTTGCATCATCTTGATGGATCAACCCAATTCATCAAGGATTGACACCCAAAACCGGTTGCATCCTCCAGATGGGACAACCCAACTCAATGAAGATGGAGACCCCAAACCAGTTGCATCCTCCAGATGGGACAACCCAACTCATCAAGGATTGAGACCCAAAAC